CTACACCTCCTCCTCCTCCTACTACTACTACTACTACTACTACTGCTTCTACTACAACTACAACTTACAATAACTTACAACTTACAACTTACAACAACAACTGCTACGACAAGTGTTGCTGCTGCTACTTCTGCTGCTACTACTACTACTACTACTACTACTACTACTACTGCTCCTGCTCCTGCTCCTGCTCCTGCTCCTGCTCCTACTCCTACTCCTACTGCTCCTCCTCCTACTCCTTCTACTCCTACTCTTACTCCTCCCACTCCTACTACTCACATTACTTCTTCTACTACGGCGACTGCGACTGCTGCTACTTCTACTACCGCGACGACTCCACCACCGTCACGACAACTACTTACGACCACTACTATTTCACTCATTGCGCGTCGTTCGTAGCAGTAGCCACAGTACATCTGTTATGAAGAGCAACTAACAACGGTATGAGCTCCTGGCTTTTTGAAAACCATGGCCCAACAAATCCATTTCAAGCTATTGGCTCTAGCTGCGGGAAGCGGCCGGCCTGATATTTCATAGTGCCTCTTTGAACTGGGTGACCATAAACCCTGAGTCTCAACACCTACATATAGGGGTAAATTTGGGTTCAGGGCTCAGCCAAGCTTAGACTAGACGCCTTTGCCTCTCGCAGAGGTCCGGGTGCAGAACCCCACAACCCTGACCGAACCCTGGGACTCCAAGATCTTCATTCGGAAGCTCAAGAGTTTGAGTCCCAACTCCAAAGTTCTTGGCTCTAGTTAGACAAACCTTAAACCCACCAATCTGCATCCGAGGAAGTATCGGGCTGTCATCGCATGTGAAGTGTTTTAGGTGGGTTTGCTCAGGCCCGGTCAAGGCACTAGAGCATTGAGCAGTTGCGAAAATCCAACTGGTGCTTGTAATGGACTCAGGGATTCATCACGTTCCGGTCGGTTTGCTGTGTTGGACGACTCACAAACATGAAACATGTCATGGGCGGAATCCTAGGGAACTAGCTTAGTAAGGAATTACCATTATCAGACTACTTTGGCCAAAACCACCTAAAACCAATTGAATATGTTGAGATA